CTTCTAGAACATGGCCACACAGCCTGAAAAACCCACAAAAACTTTGGATGCTGGCCATGAAAGCCTTCGACTTCACAAGCTGAGTACTCATTTTACCGACCTACAAAAGGATGGAAGGCTGAGTCAACCTCAGAGACCCTCAATATCCAACTCACAGCCTTGTGGCTGCAATACTGGCATTTAACCCCTGTGCCACCAGGGCTCCTTGCACCAGCATGTGTCTGAGGCATGTTGTTTCTATTGTGCTTTTGTCCCAAAGTGCAATGGTCACTTTGCAAGCTGTCCTATGAGAGAATATACCAGCAGCCCCTTGTTGAATACGGACATAGTGAAACTGCTCTGTACATTGTGAAGTCGTAGGCTTTCATGACTGGCATCCATAGTTTTTTGTGGGTTTTTCGGGCTGTGTAGCCATGTTTTCGAAGAGTTTCTTCTGACGTTTCGCCAGCATCTGTGGCTGGCATCTTCAGAGAATATATACGGTACCCACTCTCTTCCATTCCAGCATTCTCTGGGCCAGCCACAGATGCTGGTGAAACGTCAGAAGAAACTCTTCTAGAATATGGCCACACAGCCCAAAAAACCCACAAAAAACTATGCTCTGTACATTTTCTCACAGAACAAGACCACTTAGTGCAAAAGGAATTTAAAGTTGGACTGAATCTCCCAGCACCCACATGATGATGAGGAGGAGAGGCCAGTGTTGCATGAATAACCCCTCCATACCATCTGAACTGAGAACAAGAACAACAAAATGCAGGCCTATGATTAACATCTTCCATTTAAAATTCCCCCCTCCCCACCCTCCTGTAAGGTTTTTAACAGCTTGCCTGATAAAGAAGCCAGTGGAGCTTCGAAAGCTTGCAACATGTAATAATGTGCATTTTGGTTGGTCCAGTAAAGGTATCACTATTTGGTGGATTTTGGATGATATGGTACCACTTAGAAAGATGTAAATCTAGGAGTAGTTAATGGTGGTGGTGATGGTGATGGTGATGGTGATGCTGGTGTCCGCCTCGGCATGCACTCAGAATTTCCTGATGGCAACCTAGCTGTCAAGGCAAGCTCTAAAGAAGGAGCCTTTTGCTTTTTTCTGCATTCTCTCTCTCTTCCTTGACCTTTTCTTCTTTTCTCCACTGATTCTTGGTCTGGAGGCATCATGCTGTCAAAATGCTCCAACATCTCTTGAACTGGAGAGGGGGAGCTCAATGCCCTAGGGATGGGGAGAACGTAAAGAGTGCAGGATCAGCCATTATAATCCCTTCCTCATTGGTGCAAAGAAAGGCAGGCGAGAGAGGGGAGGAAGAAGGAGGGTCTTTATTCCTGCACATGGCAGCTTTTTGCCCACTGCCATCACTGCTGATGTCAAGCGCAGCATCACGGCATGGTACGCCAGCATGCTAATGAAGCCATCTCCATGGAAACGGGATCATTACCACTCATTTTCGCTGGCCTCCCTCCAGCACCCGGGATCTGTGGCTTTGCAAAATTTCAACCGCACATCGTAAATCAAACCTCCCCACCCCACCCCCAAAAATATGATATTGGTTTGGAAAGAAAGAAAGAAAGAAAGAAAGAAAGAAAGACAGGACTCCCTATGAATCAACCCTTACAAGAAGCCAAGATCTTTGTTCCAGAAATCGACATTTTCATGTCCTCGCTCGAAAGGGGATAAATGAAATGTGCCATCCTTGGGAAGTTATTTCAGAGCTGAGCTAAGACAGCCTGCCCCACTTTGCTGCCCACAATGGGTTGGATTGCAGCTCCTATCATCCCCCAGTCAGCTAAACAGTGTCTCCGTATGAGCAGGGCATGTCCCTGCATAGCAGATGGAAACAGGTAAAGCTGCCACCAATGTACTCTGGATGGAAGGGTCTCCATGGCTTCTTATTCTTCACTGCTGGAGGCAAAAGACTGGGAAGAAAGGGTTGGGAAGAAGGGAGATCCATCAAAACCTTGGCTCAGCTCCTTCTCCAGCTGGTCTTTTTGAAGACGAAGAGGCTAGAAATTCCAGACATGAGCTACCTGTGTTTCAAGATGTTCTGCAGAAACCCAGTTCTCTGTCCACCATCTTCACAGGTATATCTGGTGAGAACACAGGACAGGACCTTAGAATCATAGATCTGGGCCATCCATGGCTATCCAGTGCAACCCATTCTGCCATGCAGGAATACACAATCAAAGCACCCCCGACAGATAGCCATCCAGCCTCTGTTTAAAAAGCTCCAAAGAAGAGACTCCACCATGCTCCAAACAGCATCTTCCATTGCTGAATAGCTCTTCCTGTCTGAAGTTTAGGTGGAATCTCTTCTCCTGTAGTTTGCATCCATTGCTCCATGTCCTTGTCTCTGGAGCAGCACAAAACAAGGTTTCTCCATCCTCAATATGGCATCCTTTCAAATATTTAAACAGGGCTATCATATCACCTCTTAACCTTCTCTTCTCCAGGCTAAACATACCCAGCTCCCTAAGCCGCCATCATGTTTTGGACAATAGCCCTAGATTTATACAATCTCTACCACTCCCTCTCCAACTTTCTAACTTTGGTGTTCTCACCAAACCACAGTTTGCTGTGATGTCCAAATCAGCAAAACTATTATTCATGCGAGTTACAGTTGGCTTTGTATTTCAGATCCTCATTTGATGGTAAACTTGCCCCATCTAGGAAGTGTAAAAAGTAACTTGAGTATGAAGGGAAGGGGAAAAGGAGGGAGCATATAACCCTGACGCACTGTCACAATTGCTAAACTATGGTCCCTAGGCATGCTCCCAGTTAGGGAGGTTAGACTGGTGTCCTCTGTGCTAAAAGGCAGGTGAAGACCTTTTTGTCTCAGAAGGCTTTTGAGAGATGATTGCTGAAGAGGAAGGTCCTTTTCATATCCTGCTATAGTCTCTCTTTTTGTTATCCCAGGTCCAAAACACACTGTGGAAATATTTTTTTTGTGGGTTTTTCGGGCTGTGTGGCCATGTTCTAGAAGAGTTTCTTTCTGACGTTTCGCCAGCATCTGTGGCTGGCATCTTCAGAGAAAAAGATTATTTCCACACTGTGGAAATAATCCAGTTTGAGACTGCTTTAAGTGCCCCAGCTCAATGCTAAGGAATTCTGAGAACTGTAATTTTGTGAGACATTTAGCTTTCTTTGTCAGACAGTTCTGGTGCCACCATAAACTACGGGGGGATGCAGACGAGGGCGTCGGAGACGCCCTGGTCCGGACCGCCGCCGGAGTTCAGCCTCCGGACGGCGGCGCATCCCCGGCGAATCTAAAAGGACCGCCAAAATGGCGATCCTTTTAGATTCTGCCAAAAGTGCGCCCTAACAGTGGCGGGCGCACTTTTGGCGGCTCAAACGCCGCGGCGCGTTCGGCTGCCGCGGCGTGAGGGCAACCGGGAGTCGCCGGCCGTGCGGACGGCCGGCGCTTCCGGGTGCGCCCTCAGGAAGAGGAAGAGCCGCCGAACGTGCGGCGGCTCCTCCTCTTCCGGGCCTTGGAGACGGCGCAATTAGCCGTCTGCCGAGGCCCTACAATTCCCAAGATTCCCTAGCACTGAACCAGGGCAGTTAAAGGGATATATATATATAAATACAGTGGAGTCAGGATGGTGTTGTGGTTTGAACATTGGACTACAACTCTGGAGACCAGGGTTTGATTCCCCGCTTGGCCATGGAAAACCACAATTTTCACTCTGACTGTCTCCAAAGCTAGAAATTTGGGAACTGAAAGAAAATTTCATAGGGGGATAATTCCCTTATTTTGCCTACCTCTCTGTAACTCCACTCCTGGGATTTAGCCCCAGCAGTTACAGAAGAATCAGGCTGCTCTAGCTGTGCAGTGGAGAAAAAATTCTTAGAGCACGGCCCCCCAAACTACGGTCCACGGGCCGGCCCCGGCCCATCGAGGCCTTTTTTACCGGCCCGCAGCTGGTCCTGCTGCTGCTGCTCATGCACGCCACTGGGCACCATTTTGTATTCCAAAATGGCGTCCAGAGTCGTGCGCCATTTTGGAACACAAAATGGTGTCCAGCGGCGCATGCATGCGGGCGCAACGGCAGGCACATGCGCACGACTCCGGGTGCCATTTTGGAAGACAAAATGGTGTCCAGTGGCACACGCATGTGCACGCAACGCCAGGCACATGCGCACGACTCCGGGTGCCATTTTGGAATACAAAACGGCGCTGGAGTAGTGCGCGTGCCTGTGACACTGGGTGCAATTTTGTGTTCCAAAATAGCGTCCGGAGTTGTGCGCATGCACCCGGCGTTGCAGGCGCATGCGCACTAATTTAGGCGCCATTTTGAAACACAAAATGGTGCCTGAATAGTGTGCATGTGCACGTGCGCG